AGACTGAAAGAAAGCTTCGTAGTGACCAGCAGCCAGGACTGCACAATCAAGATCTGGAATATCCCGGAGTCCCTCACTTCCAAAGCAAAAGCAGCCTTGATCTCCAGTCCAGAAAACCTTCATGCAAAAGTGACTGAGAGGGGTCATAACAAGGTAAAGCTCCACCTGCTGCTAGAACATGCTTTTAGATCTTAAATCCTTCTCTCCTGTGTTGTACCCTACATTTATTACCTGCCCGACAGCAAGAGCAAAGACTTAACCTGCTTTGCACTCTCTGTACTCGCGTGGCTTCTCCAGGACATAAACAGCGTGGCGGTTTCCCCGAACGACAAGCTCATTGCCACGGGCTCGCAGGATCGGCTGGCCAAGCTGTGGTCCTGCTCCGATTGCTCTTTGCTGGGTGTCTTCACTGGACACAAGCGTGGAATCTGGTGCGTGCAGTTCTCCCCGGTGGATCAGATCTTGGCCACCTCTTCAGCAGATGGGACCCTGAAGCTCTGGGGTCTTCGGGACTTCAGCTGTCTGAAGGTAACGAGAGCTCAGGCTGCCCCTTGCTCGACGCAGCCCGTGCGTGTTACGGGGATGGAGTAAGGCTGTTTGAAAAAAAGTATAGGCTGGTTAGGGCAGCCAGAATGCAGCAACGTGGCTGTGCTGAAGGAAGAGCTACCTAGGTCTGGCCTTGTTCTTCAGGATCTTGGGGGTGCGAGCTGCATGCAGAGCTCCAAGGCACGAGCGTGTGCCCAGTGCTCGACTGGTCTGTCTGTTCTGGCTAACTGGTGAGCAGCGTGGTTGATCGTAGGGGAAAAGCACATTGATGCTGTTGAAAGGAAGCTGGCTTTGCCCGACGCAGCTGTGGGCTTGAAGGAGAACACACAAGTTGAAATTTCAGGCTCGCTCTGCACAGCAGAACTGTCTGTCCAGTGCAGTGGTGTCTCACTAAGCCGACGAGAAGGCAGTTGCTGCTCTGCGCCGTGGCCTGCCCAGCAGCGTTACCTCGCTGCCTGGGTGCTTCGTGCAGTGGTGGGGGATGGGCCTGTTGGCCCTGCCACTCAGACTGTTTGCAGTATGACCCTGGGCAACAAGTTTTAAGCAAGCAGGTTTGAAGAAATGCTGCGGGGCCGAGTCATTTCCTACTGCCCTTTTAACCTGTGGTGAAAACCCCAGGGATGGAGCCTGGTTTTTAGAACTTTTACCTGTTTGGGCTTTAGGAGTAAATCTCCTCCTGAAAGAGGACGCTCTCAAGAGGCCTGGCAATAACTCTGACGCTTTTGAGCTTCCTTGCTGTTTTCCAGACCTTCGAAGGCCATGATGCCTCTGTACTGAAGATCATTTTTGTAAGCCGAGGAACGCAGCTGCTCAGCAGGTAAGCGCCTACACCGGGAGTGGAGAGGGAGATGCCAAAAGTCATCAGAGGAGGAAGCTCTTAGCTGGTATCCGCAGCGAGAGGGGAGTCTGGTGCAGTGGGTTTGGCTTTGGAAAGGCTGATGGGAAGATGCTGTGTTTATGCCAAGCTTTCTGCAGGGGCTGACTTGCCTTCCCTTTCTCCAGTTGCGCCGTGGATTCCAGTTAGGTGCTGTGACCCTGCTGGGTCGGTGACGCACACTGCAGCTGGGCAGAGCTAAGGGTGCATCTCACCCTTAACGTTTTTGGCGAACTCTGCTCCTGTTCAAAAGGCATTGGAATGGGACAAGTTTATCTGATATTTGAGGAGGGGCAGAGCAAGAATGGATCTATCCAGTGGTTCTTTCTGTTGTGTTTGTCTTTCTTCCAAAAGCGGTTCTGATGGTCTTTTAAAACTCTGGACAATTAAAACAAACGAGTGCGTGAAAACTTTAGATGCTCATGAAGATAAAATCTGGGGTCTTCACTCTAACAAGCAAGATGATATGGTTGTGACAGCATCCAGTGACTCCTGCATCACGCTGTGGAAGGTACGGTACGGGGTCTTTGTGGTTCCTCTCAGGGTTAGTCATGAGAAGGCGGTTGGAGAGCTCAGGATCCCCGTGGCTTGTTCCTCACCTTCCCAGCACAGCACGTGCTCTCCTCATTTTCTGCACTTTGAAATGGGGTCGGTAAGGTGTGCCTCGGGGTTTGGGAGGGGCTTTTGGCCAGCCTGTATTTCCCCAGGTGATGATGTGAAGGGAGCAGCAGAGGGGCCTCAGCAGCCTGCCCAGCACTGGTCTGCTAAGGGTGTGTTGGAGGGAAGCTGCGAGTTGCTGGATTTAATGTGTAAACTACTTGGCCTAGAGATCCTGCTGTAGAAACTGGTCTCCTAATCACTTGGGGGCTAAAAAATTCGTCTGTGTTAAAGCAAGATTTGACAAAGTTCTATTCTGTTTTTTATAGGATGTCACTGAAATTGAAGAGAAGGAGGCTCAAGCTAAACAGGAGGAGCGGATTATAAAGTAAGTTGATCCCGTGCAGTAAGGAGCTGTGGAAGGCAAACTGTCTACGCCGAGAGCCGTCCGGCTCCATCTGATCCGAACGCTCCATCACTGAGCTGTTTAGGGGCTGTCAAGGCACAGTAGTCTCTTCCAGCCTGTCGTTTATCTTCGGTTCCTGCCGCAGAGCCTTGCTGTGATACTGTCAGCTTGACAAGTGATTAGTTTCATGTTTATGCGCTGCTAAGATAAGCAAAGTCAAACTGAGGAAACCACCTTTCACTTTCTCCTGCTTCAGCCAGCACTGAGTAGTCCAGGGAGCCCTTGAACGTGCCAGGGTGATTATCTGCACAGTGAGGGCACTGAGGCGTTCCCTGGCAAGCAGCATGAACTGCTTGGCGTTAAACCTCTGCACGCTCTTCTTGCCAAAGCTGCTGCTTTCTGTATAGCGTTTTTTCCACGTTTGTCTCTCTCTCGACACTGATTTGTTTTCCAGAGAGCAAGAGCTTTCTAACCTGCTTCACGAGAAGAGGTATCTCAAAGCCTTAGGCTTGGCAATCTCTCTGGATCGTCCGCACACGGTGTTGATGGTGGTGAAAGGTGAGTCCGCGTTGTGCTCTGAAGGCATTTTTCTGCCCTCACTGCTTTCCAGGTAGATGAAGACGACAAAGTCTGTCTGAAAGCCTCGCTTTTCCCTTGCTCTTAAAACTGCTGTTTCCCGAAGTGAGATCACCCCAGCTAACAAACGGTCTCCCTGCTCTCGGCCCGCAGGCGTGTGGGCTGGACTCCCATGGACTCTTCGTTTCTATTCCCTGCAGCCATCCTCAAGGAAACCGACGGGAGAAGGCACTTGGAAGAGAACATTGTCCGGCTCCGGAAGGACCAGAAAGGTTTGTTGCAGCATGGTTTAAGTGCTAAAACCTTTCAGGTTTAGGGGCTTGCTTTCTTAATTGAAATTAAAAGGAGAAGGATCTCCCCAGACTCAGCGTTCACCACTGAGCTCCCCCCGCGCTCACGCAGGACTGCAGCCAGGGCCGGCTGCTTTGCTACGGGGCTGCTCATGATCCACAGCTGCTCTGAGCTGGTGCGAGTGGCTTTGCCTGGCCTTACCCCCCCGTTCAGGGTGTCAGGAAAGGGTTCTGGCGTGGCTGTTCTGCCCCTCCGGGCTCGCGGGAGCTGAACC